TGTACCAGCAGGCCCCAAATCCTTTTATTCCATACATGATATGAATTATTATTTTCTACTGACATCATTCTTACTCAACTGAAGAGCAAACAGAGCATCTTTCACAATTAAAGAGCCACCATTTAATAAGTGTCCGTAAGGCACTAAAAGCTCTACTCAGCCCTTCACACATAATAACTGATGGAATCTTCCTAACAATCCTGAGGTAACTGAACTATTTCCATTTTACAAATAAGGGTACTGAGATTTCATTAGTCTCTCTCATATATCCATTTATAATCTTAAACTGTAACTTAACTAAGTTTCAGTAGCTCAGGAATAAGTTGATAGTTTGACTCCTGGGCTACCATCCTACAACATTACTCTGTTGGAGGTCACCAGTGATTACCACCAAATACCTCTTCCCTGTTCTCATCCCTTTCGACTTTCTATAGAATGTGGTCCTCCTTATTACTCATGTATCATGTATATATAGTCACGCCTTCCTTCATCAATTACTCCCCCTCCCACACACTTTCTCTCCCTTTCTTCTCCCTAATTATGTGAAGCATAATTAAACATACTCTTACTTCTTCCATAGTAAGAAAAGTGAGATCTTCAATTCTGTCTTGCCTGCATAAGTACTACTTTTTTTGCTTCCTATAGAAACAGAAGTCTACATGTGTTATTTTTCACTTTCAAATCTGTCATTCACTCTCCAACCCACTGAAATCTCAATTCTACAATGAGCGTTGCATTGAAATTGCTCCATCCAAGACCAACAATAATCTCTAATTACCAATCCAGTTAAATCTGTTCAGTTCTTATCTAACATAAACTTTCTGAATGTCTCTTGGCACTTTAGACTTGATAGACTTACCAAGTCTCCACCTGTCCCTCAGTCTGCCTTTTCTCCAAGTATTTCTCTCATGTTTAACTGAATCTCTATTATTTCAGTTTTGTAGGTTTAGAACCCTCTGGAGTTTGCTCCCTCATCTATCTTTCAATGGCCTTTCATCTCGCCCATCTCACCAATTATTGCTTTATGTCATAAACAGGACCTCTCAGAAAAAGGTTTACGGCATCTTACGTACCATTTGGTAACTTGCAATATGTTAAAGAAAATTATCTGTGATAAAGTAAAGCAAATATGAAGCAGTTATAAATCTGTGCATCCACTTTTCCATTAATTCCATAGTGCCATGCACACAGAGCATTGAAAAAAATGTCTGTTGAACTGATTCAAAAGCCAGTTTTGAGGATGCATTTCACTAACCCCAGAATTCAGCTGAGCATAAATATATCTTTTTCATTGCTTTTTTCCTAAAACACTCTATGTACAAAAGAAAGAGGGAGAAAGAAAGGTCCTTACCTTGATAAAATGGTAATGTTCCACCATGAGATTTCCATGTGGGTAAGGGGAGCAGGAGATGCCCAGCATAGGTCTCCCCCAATATTCAGTTTCTCTGAACAATCTAATATCATTCTGAAGCTGAATGCTGAGAGCAGATTGCATTTCCCACCCACGATTTAACTTCACAAGAATCATCTTTAACAGTAATCACATGATGTGTGTTGTCTTTCATTACACAGAGTTTGGTGATCAATAAGAGGGCCTTGGGGTAGTCACTCTCCAGCCTGTGCATTGTGTCATATATCGGGAACTGAATGGGGCAAACTCATCAGTGACTCAGTAGTCCACAAAAGTGATGATCTTTGTCTCTGAGATTTGCCAAACTGAGAAACATCACATGAATATGTAATTGAGGTCAGATCATGTATTTGGCCACAAGCCTTCACCTGAGAGAAGGACACCAGCTCTTACATAGGGTCCTATACCAACCACTCCTAGCTCAGTTTCCCAGCGAGACAGCCCTTTTAGGATGAGAATCTCTGCCATCTTCTGATCAGCTGGCTTATCGTAAGGCAGTTTTTTCTCTACCATCCTCTACTAATTGGCCTCAGGGATCAGCGTGAGCCTTTTGTGCAATAACAATTCTAAGTCTATCCATTTGAGTTAGTGAGTCAAAACGAGAATGGGCTAAAAGGCGAACAAAAACTCTATTTGATTTCCTTTCATATATTGCTTTCAGACAGATGTCTCACCTATGAATTGAGAAAATGATGAAAATTTTAAAGATCAAGTCTCACTCAGTTAATTACAGTGCTATTGGCTGTTGTGTGTTATCAGAAGTCACAATCCAATTTTATAGCATCTTCTAGAAACACAGGATTTGCTGAGGGAAATAAAGAACAGGATCAAACTTCCTTTTTTATTTTAACCCTAGGTACAGATTCTCAGATCTCTTCCTACCCATTAAAACTGATATCAAATTTGAAATCATGTATGGTACTGTCTGGTGTTAAAACTGGACGTTTCATTGTATTAAGAAGCAATAAAATATAAAATAAAATAAATTATAGGATGTTATTCCAAAACAGAGGGCTTCAAAACAATTATCCCAATGGAATCAGTCATTGTCCCCTATTATACTCTCACACTCTAATCGTGTTCCAACATACTCCAATGGATGTATATAAACTTGGTAAAAAAGTTTAAGAACATATACACACACATGAAGTTTATGTGAAAACTGGTGAAATCCAAATAAGGTTTATATTGGATTTATAGTTTTGTACCAATGTCAGTTTCCCGGTCTTGACATGGTATTCTGATTTTTCAGGACGTCATCACTGTGGAATGAACTGGAAATGGTACCTAGAAACCTTCTGTGCTATGTTTTCTAACTTCTTGTGAATCTTAAGTTATATCAAAAGAAAAGGTATTTTAAAACTTTTAAAGATTAACAATGGTAGTCATGTTTTTGATTTGGATGCACATTTCCATTATAATATATAAAATAATGAACAGTATTCATTAACAATTTTCATAATAAAATGAATTTGCATCTGCAAAATCGTGCCAATTTTGCTTATAGTCAAGTTTTGGGCAAGTAGCAAAAGGGTAATTGTATCCATTTCATTGTTTCCTAGCAAAGAAGCAAACCAGATATTGGAACCTTACATAAATGGCAGTATTTGCTATGGATTTTTATGAAAAGAACAGTGAAGAATTTATGACAGCCTTCTTAGGAATTCAGAGGCTTTCCTCGATAGTAACTGACATGACTTTAAAGWATAACAAAAGAACATAGATTTTCCAAATCGTACTTATGAAAGAGAGTCCATTTTGTATCCCAATTTTATTCACCTTTTCTGAATAGTCACAACATTAATCTACTGGGGATAATCTAGTTAGTATAATTTAAATTCCATTTATTTTTTCTATTAATATGCATGTGTTACACTTGTATATAATACAGAATTTCCAGTGTTGTTTTAAAGGACATAGTTTAAAAAATGAGAAGCATGATCTATAATTTCAAATGAAATAAGGACAAATTCATAATTTTCAAAATAATACAGTTTTCCACTTTGTTCTAAAGAAATTAATGATATTCTAATTGATGCAGAAACTCCAGCACAACTATTATTTCTTTCTTTATGATTTCATGTACTCTTGAACCACTATAAAGTCCACTTGGAGCCATCTGGTTAGTTTTATGCACAGTTAAAATGGAGGCAGGAAGTAATTTCATTCCCCATACTTGTGGGGCCATAGACTTGTAGTTCAATGCTAAAAGAATATTTTTCAAACTTAATTTTAATCAATTGTAAATTTTTAGTTGTTCTTCCCAGTATAGTATCTGGATAATATATTGGTCTTTGAATATTGTTACAAATTAACAGACCCAAGGCTCCCAGAACTTGGGAGCCTCCCTCATGGAAACCAGTCTATGCCTAATTGGCCATTGTCAGTGAATTCTAAAATTACAAAACATTTTCACACCTTCTCTAACAGGATGGAACTGCTAATAGGATCATTTCAGAAGTATCTTCTGATTAGTCTAAAACAAGCAGGACACAGAAATCTCTCCCTTTACATTCCTTCAATCTATAGGTTTACACAATATTATTACAGAATGGCTCTACAATTTCCATTCTTCTCTCCTTCCACATCACAAATGAAACAAAATAAATGCAGTATAAAATTATACATTCTGTAATAACTTAGAAAAAAGTACATAAATGTTTAAGGCTTTTAAATATTTATAAGACGTTCCCATAGAACCAAAAAATCACAAATGTTAAAAGACTATGAAAATGTGGACAGAATACTGGCCTATGAAATTGTTCAAATGGAACAATTGTAAGCAAATATTTATAAATTTCTGACCAAGGAAAATGAACAATTTATTCTATCAACAGACTGAACAAATATGTAAGCATTCAAACAGTCAATTGGGATCAAGCAAGAGACAATCTTTTAGAATGAGATAGAAAAAGGACATTTGAAAAAAAGTTTCAGAAGAAGTCTAAGTGAATAACGTTCAAGCTAAGAATCAGAAACGCACATGCATCCCTGGTGAGTTTTTGAATCTGAGGGCTACATAATACCTTGACAGTTCACTGCTGATTTCTGTAAAGGGAAAAAGTAAACAAAAATAAAGAAAGAAAAAGCCCACTTTAAGGAAAAAAAAAACAATAGAGTGCTCTAGAAGTAATACAAAGTATTGTATAATGAAGATGATGATCCAGTTCTAACTACTAGCTATTTAACTGACAGAGAGCTGCAGTAGTGGGTTAGCCTTGGGGTAACATGTCAGCTTGTCTATACATTCTTACATGATTGATGTACTCAGATTACTATTACTTGCCAACAATAAGTATTATCGATGGATATATATTTCCATTCCTTTAACAAAAGCAACCTTAAGATGTTAAAACACATAGGCTTTTAGAGCTCCAAGATTAGGATACAAAGAAAATTGTCTCAGTCTATGCCATGCCAGAGAAGTTCTCAAAGGAAGTGTCATCAAAGCTGTGTACAGTCCCATTTGCCAGTGAACAAAGGACCCAGGAACACATCCATGACAGAAGGACAGTGTGCTTGGGAGACAGCTTTCAGAAACAAGAAAAGCAGTCACAGCTGGACCCAGGACCCCAAAAGGTGACTGTGACGTCACACAGTAAACACCCACTCTCCACCAGCTCTGCAGACAGCAACTTCAAATTCCCTTAGCAACTTTACAAGTGGAGCGCAGTTCAAATCTGAAGTCTTTATGATATAGAAGTCCATGTTTGACATTTTTAAAGTCTTGATCTCAAGAAGAGGCTGGTAACGAGCCATAGAATCCCTTGGAAATAGACTCTGGAGCCCTTCTTCTGAGCAGTATAAAAATCTTCAGGATCACCTCAAGAGTTAAATTTCTATGCATATGTTCAATGTAATCTGCCTGGAGGATCACTTGATTTATCCTTGGTTAATGGGTTACCTACAAATGAAGGAGAAAATATAATCAACATTTCAAAATATAGCTATAGTCTTAAACACAATTAGCAATCAATAGGTAACTCTAGTTTGCTATATCAAATATATTGCTGAATTTTAGAGGATTACAGTTTCAAATATTTCTGACTTATATAACAGTACACTAATTTTTTCTTGTCATCATTTCACAATATTTTCAGAGCTACTTTCACAGTTATTTGAAGGACTTTAACTGTGACCAGAATAATCTCAACTGGTAATGACATTCTTCTCAGAACCATAGAATGATTCTGAAATCCCTGTCCTTTGCATAGGTTTGTTGGATATAACCCAAAGATCATAAACACATCATACCAACCCTCAGTGAACAAAAGTGTTGTTCACTGGAAAATAATCAGATCATGGTCTCTCAAGAGAGTCCTTGGGAATTGGCTCTATAATATTCACTCTTGAAATGGTTTAAAAATTGGGAACCTATTTCACTCAATTATGTGTCAGAAAAATCACCTATTTGTGAGAACAAAAATATTTGGGAAGAATGAAGAATAGTACAGTGATTTATGAAATTTTAAAAGTCCTCAGAAACTCTCATAAAATTGATTAGCACCGTAGTACTAATGTTATTTTAAATATTAGGAAGATTTACAGTGAATTTTTGTATCAAGGAAATCCAAAGAAAATTTGTATCCAGGAAAAAATAGTAACAGAGTATCTGATTATATACATATACACAATTAGATAGATATACAGAGACAGAATCCTACTGTGTTAATGAATTTCTAACTCTACCCTAGTAATAAGCAGTATGTTCAAAAACATTACCTAATATTCTTTTTTAGTAATGGTTATAACAAAAATTGAATTTTTAAAATTACTGCAGACACTTTAGTTTTAAGTGACATAGGTACTTGTTCTTGATAAATCTTTTACTAAAAGGCTGGTTTTTATTTATTTTCTTTTGTTGTTTTCTCATCAGCTGTGAAAAAAAGAAAATATTAAACTATATCAGAGTTCTGGCCAGTGCCATGCCATGGCTGGTCTCAAATTATACTACAGAAAGGAGATGTAAAATTCAGAAGTGTTTTCTTTGCATGAAGGCAGCCCTCTTGCTTATGTCTCTGTGGCCAACTAATATTATTAAAGGAGTCTTGGTCTGCATCTTTGATGCATCTTATTCTCTTGAATAAGATGGTTGCACAGAGCAACCATGGAAGAAAATGAACTGAGGGATGAAGGTTGCAAATATGAAGGACCTGATGACTTTTAGGGATTCTGAGAACAGGAAAAATCAGGTGCAGGGAAGTAACCTCAAGATCAATTTATCTGCCATACTTTGGCCACTAGACACAAGAAGTATGAGGACCTCATACGGAGTGTCAGTGCAAGAAGAAGGTGGGAAGGAAATCCTACCATTTCTACAGGCATTATATCACAGGCAACTGATGGAGACCATTGATCATTGTCATATAATTTTCATGATAAATTTTCTCCTTACGCTTGATTTAACACAATCTCTGATTTCCATTGGCTGAGATTCACCTGATTTTTCTGACAATTCTCTTCTTAGTAAGAAAAATTTTGAAACATAACATGGGGACTATATTTCCAAAATAAGTGCTGAAATAACAGGAAAAGGAATAAAGAGATTAAGAGAAAACAAAGAGCTTAGCTTTAACAGGGGTTCAGGGTAGGGCAACTGAAATAACACGGTGGAATGAACTGTAGGAACCTGGTGCATGATTGCAGTAAAACAAGTGGCATGTTATCTTGAGCCATAACAAGCCCCAGTTCTAAGTGATGTATTGTRTTATGGTACAGAGACTTAGATCTTCATTCCAAGCTAAATATTTGATCCTGTGGGTTTACATAAAGCTGAGAAGAGAGTCTCTTAATAATTTTTATGGCAGAGCTTTGTCTTCATATGATTTTGACAAAACACAGCCAAATTTACAGCGTAACACCAAAGACTCATGTAACTGAAACAACCTTATCCCCATCTCTAGAGAATAGGCATTCACACACACACAAACCTATAAAAACATAAAAGTGTGTAACATACACTATGCTACATAGTATATAACTCATTATGTATATGTTCCTGTACTCACAAATACAGAAATATCATAAATACACATTTTATGAAGCTATGTTTCTATCAGATAAAATTGCTAGGAAAAAAACCCCAAATTTTAACATGGCTAAAAATAAGTTATTTTCTAAATAAGCATGGGCTGAAGCATAATTGAAATTTTTCTCACACTCAAGCTACACACAATGTTCCTAGATTATTAATCTTAAAAATATCCTAGCATATTTTATGAGATAAAGAATAGAGCATAAATCATTTCTAATGTCATTGAAAGTGGACAATCTGATTCAGATTTATTTATTCAATTATTTATTTATTTATTTTGCAGTGCTCAGGATAGATAGAGCCCTAGGACACCTGAGTTATTTCCCCAGACTTTTTAATTTTTTTAAATTTTATGATAGGGTCTAACTAAGTTGCCCAGGCTGGCCTAGAATTTGCCATCCTCCTGCCTCAGCCTCACAAATTGCTGGGATCACAGGCTTACTTTTTAAATTTTAATCAGAGAACACATTACAGTTTGACATGCAGAGGTCTAGACTAAGGCCAGAGTGGCAATAATTGTAATCACATTTTACATACAACCACTGTCACCCTCAGTTTATCTATATGTAAAAGGGAGAAAATCTTGTTAATCTCACAGTGTTGCTGTGATGATCAAATATTGCTAGCTCTGTCAACCCTGAAGATATGAGTTTTTTTWAAATGCATAAATAATAAATAAGCCACTAAAAGTCTAATGAAACATTCACACTGTCAGACATTTAGTCAAATTAGAGGACTGCACTGAAGGACTCAAACAAAGGCTAACTAATGACTCTCCCTTTCAACATAGTATAAGATGAACATGTATGAACATATGTCAGCACTTTCCCTGACAACCTCAAGGTTTATACCAAATAGAATAGCAARTACTAAAATATATGGGATATGTATTTTGAAATATATAAAATATATTTTAATATATTTAAAAATACATAGAAAATGATTCTGAATATTATCATTAAGTCACCTAAATGCAAAAATCCAAATAGTACTTTAAAATAAAATTATTGTCTAAAATTAAACAAAAAAAATCAACCATTTAAGAATCATATGCTCATTAAATAAGTAAAACTAAATAATTCAAGTTTAAATTGAATGCATGTTAATGGCAGAGATGGGGACAAACTAAATTCCATTTTACCCTGTGTGGACTATAAAGTAGAACATCCTAGTATATAAGATATGCTTAAACAAGCAATCCAGCACTTCAAAAAGTAGAAGTGATCAATTTTTGCCTGTATTTGTTCATTTAGGTCATGCTTTAATTCACAGATCATTTTAATTATGAACCTTCTGAACTTGAACATTTGCCATATTTTTAGAACTTAAGTATTACTCTTTTCACTCAAGTTGTATTTTTTAAAAGATGCCACAACAGTGGAAGCTTTACCTTTTATAGAGGATTTTCAGCAAGTTTTCAGTAACTAAAAGCAGGAGATTGCAATAAAATCAGTTTTACAGGACGGGAAATGACAGTTGCTACCCATGAATGCACACTCTCTTGTTCTGAGGGCAATAGATATAAAATACTGCAGGACGGAAAGAAACAGTCCTGCCATCGTTACGGTTACACCTGGAGCTTCCTGTGCTATAATCACTATCTCAGTACATTTGCCTTTCTATGGGTAATATTTCACAGAGCTGTTCTTTTTTATGTAAATCTTATTTGTGTGTCCTACACACCAGCTAGTCTGACATTTGCAACTACTGGAGCACTGAACACATGCAAAACACAGAGAAAAATAATCTTAACAATAGCTTGCTTCTCCAGTCACAAGCACAAAAATATCCTGGTAATGATCCACCAGAAAGAAGAAGCTAATCTGCTAACATGGAACAAAATGTGCAATTCTTTAAAAACAAAGCATCCACTTAACCCAATCCAACAAATCTAGGATAGGATCCAGATTACATTCATCAGAAATTCATGTTAAAATCATGTCTTAATCTATTCACTAATTTAGACTAATAAAATAAACCAGGTAAAAAACAACATATGTGACATTTGTTAAACTTGAAGTGAAGCAAAGWCAATAATGTTATTCTGTTTCTGTTTTATAATATGAGCATTATAAAATGTCCTCGACCTATCTCCAAGTTAAAGTTAGAATGCTAAAAGGAAATTCAAGAAACTATTTTGTCCCCAAGTGTAAAAGGTGCTTTTGCAAAATTTAAAAAAATCTTTGTTTCTAAAGTTCAAATTACCTTTTTTTTTTTTTTTTCTGTTCGTATTCTGCTTGCTGGGTTATCTGTGGGAGTCACCTAACTATGGTAAGAGACGTAATGCCAAATAGCCTACGCAGGCCACCGTGTTCAAGTTCATGTCCTATCACTTTCTAATACTACAAGTTTGAATAAATTAAACTCCTGAACTTTTGTGTCTTCATATGCAAAATGAGGTTATTATTATTTTAAACCACACATTTGTTATTTTGAATAAATCAAATAATCTTTGAGGAGTACTTGACCCAGTAAATGCATTTTAAATACTGACAGGTGGTAACAGTGTAATTCTCAAACAAGATATAAAAAGTGATATATATGACTCCTATGGAAAGGTGGTATTCTTATCTACAAATACTGACTTAAAATTAATTTTCTGCTTCATATAGTCACTCATGTTGCAATTATTTCTTCTTATAATCTTATTAATAATCAAAGTCATGCATCAAAAATGTGATCATTTTTTAGAGAGTTTTAGATTGTACTTTAGAGAATTAGGTAGAAAGTCATGGTTCAAAGTTTGTGCCTTGACATCAGGTTGCCTGGGGTCAGTGGTCAGGTCTGCTGCTGATCACAGTAAAGCAACAGTACTAGCATCTGCACCATAGGGCTGAGAAATATTAGATCAAGTACTGAAAACAGTGCCT